GCTCAATCGATAATAAAAGTTGATCATCTATATCAACTAATTAGGTTTGATGGTTCGTTAACAAGCTTTAATAGCATTTACCTGCTTCAGCGACATAGACTTGTTTAAACATCAAGCTCTAGCAAATATGACCTGTCAATAGCGTAAATATACATTGACTAGCAATGCAATCAAGGACTAAATAGTTATCTCGATCTAATTCTCAGTGTTCCTTCACTTAACACCTCATCCTGTTTTAAACTATGCACTATCCTGTAATATCTTTTCTTCCGACCACTGCCTGCCTAATTTCATATTCTCGAGTTCCATTGCCAAACAACAAGGATGACACTTCTGCAAAAACATACGGTGAGTTCCAGCTATAAGTTTTCTACAATCATAAGGTCATTTTTAGATGGTTCGTTCAATGACAACCACACAGTTATCTGGATTCATTCGGTTGTTCTGATCCGAGCGAGTGGCAAAAACGTCAACAGCATCAAGCACCCTGGAATTAATTGCCATACTGCATGTTTTATTCTGGATGCTTTTGGATCAATACTACTCACGAATGGCGTTATATATGTCGTCCACTGAATAATCTAATTTTTAGAAATAATCCAGGCGAGTTCAACTATCTCACTTAATGATTTTTTGTACTGAACATATATATGTTTTCCGGTTCCTTTTGCTATATATTTGTAAGTGTCCCTAGGCTAAATGCAGTAACTCCTTATGGAATGTTTATAACGCATCATATTCCTGCCTGAAGTTTCATAAGCAGTCTTGACTTTAAGATTACTTTTCCTGGTCATGTTCATTATTTTTAAATTTTTATATACGTCAACAACCTGCATGTTAACCTGGCCCATACATACGTTACACTATATCTTCATGTCTTCTAAATTTAGAAATAATCTGAATCGCCTTTAACATTTATCAATAAACCCATCATAGTCGTTGTTGCTAATCGTATTTGTGTTTATGGATTGGTTTATCATATTAGCAGCCTAAAATGCAAACATATTTTAGATAATAAGATTAAAAATTTAGGTACTATCAACTGCACTAGTAAAATAACTAAATTCCTAGGTAGCTGTTGGCTAAACAAACGTTTAAAATCAAAACTCCGTAGCCTACTAGAATTAACACTAAACGAATCTTTCTGAATTGAAATTTATAATTAAATTAGGCGTCTCGGATTCTGTAACATAAATTTCCGATAATTTTGAATCACCTAAAGCAAAAATACCTATTTTTTTCCACTGGCTAGTCCTCAATCAACACTATAACTAGTTAAACGTAATAGTTTCAGGATATCGTCATAAAGCATTGTCATGACTTGACAATCACGTAATATGATTGATAAAATTAATGAAACTATTAACAAAATCGGTCAGCAAATTGATTTACAATTATCACTAGTGTTGTTTTTCTTTTATCTTCATTCACTACAGATGATTACAGTATGTTTCTCTATCAGTTGCTCATTCAGTAAATATCTCAAAACCTTGTCAGTCTAATTGATGGTTTAGCGACACAATCATGCATGCAAACAATCAGTATAAGCAGTCGAGCAAATCTCCTGCAAACTGAAAACATTAATGTCGAATTTACCCCAAGACTGACTAAGGTTCAAGCCATTATCATAGGCGTGAGTTGGGAGTGTACTCCCCTTGGTTACAACTTATTTTCTTCCTGATAATCACATGAGCATCACTCACTATTAATCATCTTGTAAAAGTTTATTTAGCCGAATACATCCTGCAGCATCACATCACCTAGTAATATGACACAGGCCTAACTGATTTCAATAACTTATAACCACTATATCTCAATTAAATCGTATTGCGCCTTATGATAAACTGCGTACTTGCAACTAACTTGTATGCCCAATCAGCCGGCAAGTATAAATATAAATAAATAGTATATCGCAGATCAGAACATTGAGTACAGAGCATGGCTCTTACGAATACACTCATGTTTAACGATTTGTTCCTAGCTATCTGTCCAAAATTCATATAATTATCACTCATATATTTAAATTTTGTTTTGATGAACATTCATGTGTATTAGTAGTATTACTAAATTCTATCACGGCCAAGTAAAAATGAGGTTGAGGAAATCTCCCCGTAACTAAATAAACCGTATCAAACTAACTGGAACACTAGTTGGAATTCTTTTCCATGGTAATACTTTTGTTCTTTCAGTTAGCCTACTAATACAGACGCAATTGGAAATCACATATGGACGGGTTACCGGCATAATTGTTAATTGGTTTCATAATTTAAACCAAAACTAATACCAATATTAACATTTCTACAATATTCATTACTTTAATATTTCTAAACACAAAATACTTACTACCTATATGTCAAGTTATTAACCAACGGCTATTAACACGCATTGTTTTATTATTATTATTATTGTAACCCCATTTTTTATAGCTCAAATAATCTTCGCCCAAATTTTCATTTCAAGCGTTTTAAGCATGAAGGCAGATATTTTAAAATTATTACATGTATTTCCCGACCAGATGCTGCCGCTTTCTTTTTGATTTATCTTTCAGCTTACCAATACCCGGAGGATTCTTATTATCCTTGGTAACCTCCGGCGCGCGACGATCCCATCCAATTTGGTATCGAACCAACATCACGTTGTTTCTGGTGGGAGAGTAGTGTAGTGGCATCGGACAATAGCCACACAATCTACAAAGCTGTGAACACGAGACTACTCAGAAAATAGATATTCAATATTTAACGCGGAGGAATACCTAACAATGGAGAAGGCGCGAATAAGGAGTTGAATGGACTGGGTTTGATCTGATGGCATGGCTCGTCCATGCAGGCGTGGTCCATCTCAATGTTACTTTATATCTTCTATTCATATTAAATATATTGTTCTTTCTCTAGCCTAACCTTGTTCTACATCATGTATTGGTAATTGATACGATACAGTGAGTTGGTGTACTCGATGGTGTGACTTCCACGTAAGATCTTATAGATTAGGCAGTTATATCATGACAAATCTACAAATTTAGGATTAGGTCTATTATTAGAGCAGTACTAATATCATAGTAGACCATAATTCTACAAATATATCTCGATTTGGTCCATTAATTGCCTTCTGATGTTTGGCTTCCGGGGGATTTCATGAAGTCATTTGGCACACGTTTCTTAGTAGAGGTATTCATAGTTAGTCTCGACTCGACACCACGCTACACGATCTTTGAGGACGAACATACGACGACTGAAGATGTTTAAATTCAATATTTAACACTCAGAGAAGAACAGATATGATTAAAACGGAGGGAATTAATCGATACGACATGATTCAGCCATGTGGGCGTGGTGAACATGTAATTTATTCCTTCTTATGTTAAATATATTATTCTATCCCTAATCCGAACGCGTTATTCAGGAATGCTACACAGCGTATTGCTGATTGTCACGATAGGGCGAGTTAGCATAGACAATTATGTGACTTATACGAAAGATCTTATAGATTAGGTAGGTATATCATGGCAGGTCTACAATTTTATGATCAAGCTTATTATCCCAGTAACATTGATGAATGCACTTAATACTTGTCAGGGTAAAAATCTTAGAACTACATGTTGATAGAGTGATTTTCACTTATCCATGATATATTTACGGTGCTATTATAGTCAACGGTCACTGATTACAGACATAATAAATGATCGGAGAGAATTATCACTGTGGTCGATTGGATTTAGGACAATTACTTTCAAAGACTGCACTGGATGGCTGGTAAAGGTGTGGTTCAGTTTAGAGGCTTTTTCACTAACGTTTCAACGAAAATACTGAGATGCATTTTCAGAAACAAGCCGGATTCTTTCATCAATTTCATGAAGTTATTGAAATGTTTGGAGTCATTACCTAGGCATAAGAAACTGAAGTTGTCGAAATAAGTCAGTAGTATAGCCCGAGTAAATTCACTTAGACATTTCGCATGATGACTTGTAGAACTAAATGGTTCAAAATTATCTGGGGTCCATAATACTCCTTATAAGTATAAACTACAATAACATTTTATAGTGCACCATGATATATCTCTCTGTCTTATCCTGCGAAATGAGATATCATGCACTTTAACGAGGTGTGGTAGGTGATGTACGATCACAACGTCTATAGTATGTGACATGTCATTTCGAAAAAATAAGGATTCTTAGGTTACAATTCAAAACGAAATAAACCACTTATACACCAGTTTCATAGGCAGTTATTATGCTTTGGTAGCAGTCAAATACTATCTCTCTTACTTCAGTGATTTTCGAGCATAGCTAATTTACATTGCTATACTTGCGGTTGTAGCGGTTAAGAAATCCCCAAAATAAATAGTCGTGTAAGTCTTCAACCCTTGACTACTTATTTGCGACCGGTTAGGAACTAATCATGGGAAGATAACTGAAACTCAATCACGACATCACGTGATTTTTTGCGGTGAAGACCTGCAAACTATGAGATCCTTATTTGTATAGATAGTGATAGGACCTTCAGCTGATTCCTGAAAAGGAAGGATCAACTTCTATTTAAGGTTCATTTGCAGACCACTGTAGGTACTTTAAAGTCATCTTTACTTTTAGTACTGAATAGTATTTTATGGTAAAACATGAACCACATCTTTAAGAAAGTAAGAACTATCTCATCATAATCACTCAGTTAGCAAAGGATGTCAGTAGAGTACTGAATTCCGGGAGAGGCTATTGGAAAATCCAACTAAACTCGTATACGTATTAAGAGAACTACTTATTGAGTTACATTTTTGAAAGATCACTTTCACATTCCTGATACAGAAAGGAGACTTTAAATCCTTCTGCAGACAGTTGATATCTCATGAATGATTCTAAAGAAATTCATTAAAATTGCTAATTGATCACAGTTTCTGGTATTCCAAAGAAACCCAATAGCTAGGTGCATGAGTAGGTATATACACTTGTGTAGCTAGGATACCGTTTAACCGCATTCAGTGTGCTTTACTCTCTGTTTTAGCGCACTAGTCAACTTTGACCTTGCTAACAAAGGTGTCGTTAGCATTATTATATGAGGTTCTCGCAAGAGATTATTCCCGATTATTTCTTTAATTAACCCCTAAGAAGTCTAGCATTCAAATTCTTTGACTCAATTTTATTGTTTGTCATTGAAATGCTGGGTGGCTTTATTCTCGATATAACTCGATTTCTTGTATTTTTTGCGAACATATATGTACATGTATATGTATATATATATGCTCGGGTATTTCAGTTATCGGTTTAAAAATAGTTTTGTGGATGCAGGGTGTTCATATAAGGTAATAGTGTGATATTTCGACCTTTGTGAATAATGTTTGGTAAATATCTCTTTTCCTATAGGAGAATATATTGGGAAATGTACTTCCCGATTGAATGTTTTTCGGATCACTTATATGTATATTTTATCGTCGGCTGTGGCCATATGACATTTCTGTACATTACAATTTTCAGTTCGCTTTTTTGGTCTCTGGGTACTATTGTATCTAGTTTCGTTTTAAAAACCTGTTTATTGTCTGAACAGTGTAAGAAAAGCAATTACCAACGCTCAAACTGTCGATACTTCATTAAAAGCGGCATGTAGGGCGACAAGTGCAAAGGACAGTACCACAAAGTTTGCACGAACCCAACACCGGCTCTCAAACGGCTTAGTAAGAATGTTTGCATGTGGTTTTGTCAGCAGTGCTGCTCGGACGCAAATAGCTCGCTAACCGAGATCATTTCAATGGTAAGTGCTGCTATAAAGTGTACAAGCCAACAAGGTTGAAACACATCGAAAAATACTCGCTCTGTCGATACACGAATTTATGTGAAGTCACCTCAAATAAGCTCGGTATGCTGACTTATATGGATTGAAGAAAAAAACCGACTTCAAAGAGGTCTGTTCTAAGTAAAATCTCAAGAGAGGAAGTTTCCCTCACCCCACATCCTCTGAATGGTATCCGGCATGAAACGTCTAAAAAGCCCAATCGCAAGGCTAGATCTGTTTCCGTCAGGAAAACCAACCTGACTGCTAAACTCACCTGTGACCTTCCGCAACCCCACAGTGTGTTTGACTCGACTGTGGTCGCTACTCCAACGAAAGTTGATGAGTAAGTACAGGCCGAGAACAAGAAACGGCATAACGCTATTAAAGAAAATCCAACCCATCCCCAAAGTAGCCGAGAAATTAAAGACTGATCACGCTGACAGAGAATTTACGAGGACACTCCAAAAAGGTTCACGAACCCGAAACAAATTACTTGTCAGCTGACTATCGACTTCCTCATCGAATCACCAACGAGTGGAGTTTATTACCTTAACACGTGGTTGAAGCTCCATCTGTCGACTGCTTCAAAAGAACGTTGAACCAACCGAGAAACCATTATTTCCAGGAATAACATAAGCCATCTAGCCTCCCGTTCTTTTCCAAACTGAAAGTATGTTATTGGAAGTATCAATCTACGTTATGCAGTTTGAGTTGTGTCAGATTACTTCTGTTCACTTCGTTTTGTTTCTAGATAAAGAATGGTGCAGTTGGTATAAGAACTTCAGACGTTGATGACTGACATGAAATCGGTTTTACATTAGGGATATCAACATGTGCAAGTTAATAGATTCATAATTTCACTAGTATCCTCCCTCAGGACGTATTTCTTATCGTTCAGATCGTCTGTAGTTATTATTAATTAGCCTTAATATTCGATTGTTATCGGAATAATTTCATTTCGTAACTGCATGACTTTGATGTACTGATTAAATTTAGGGTATCAGCATATGTGCATATCACACTCCTCTTTTAATGGTGGTTGGGTTGAAACTACTTTTCTAAGTAACAATTTACTGACAGCTTTCAAAAAGTCACTTAGTTGTAATCTTTATCTCGAGCAAGAAATCCTTTTAGTTATTCATAAACTTCATATAATTTCCAAGTGGCTTGATATCTGATTACATATGACAGGTATAAAATGTGTAACGTAACCTAGCAATTACATGGGGACCAAATCTTTTTTTTCGTAATTGTTAGAGATGCTGTCTAACCCCGGTGAGAAAGGTTTTAAACCCAGGGCCACTTGTCTAAAAGTCAAAGATTAAGGCATTAACCTCACTTATAGTCGATCAGCATTACGGTTAACAAACACGTAACTAATCTGACTAGTTTTTATCCTTCTTTTTTTCATATTGCGCACTCATCTAAGTTTACTACATTGAGAATCGTACAATCATTATTATGGATCCTTCATTTATGATAAAGTTGAACAACATAGCAGAAAAGGTAGTATCTTTCAATATATATCTTACAAGTTACTATTCATTATAAATTTTAGTATAATTATGAATTTCGTGATTGTGATATAGTTGATTTAACAGAATTTTCAGTCACTAAAACAGGAGGTAGATAAATATATATTTTTTAAAAATAAGATTTGAATATCACTTATAGATTTCCTATCATCATTACCAGATAGTATATTATCAGATGATGAAAATGATTGTGATATTGAAAATATTCAACCATCTACAAATAGAACAGGTATTTGACTTCGAATATATTTGAGTTAATTTCTACTAAAGGATCTTTTACAAATACTACTATTGTCGGTACATGTAGTGATACAGAAAAAGAAGAAGAAAATGAGGAAGAGGAGGATGAGAAGGAAGTAACAATGGAAAGTTCATTATTTAATGAAAATTCCAAAATGGTAAGAGTTACTTTAAGTTTTTAAATAAAAGTTTTAATTTTTAGGATTTTAATAATGTAAAAGCTGCTTTATGTTGTAAGTATGAAATATCCTCTCATAAATATCTTATTATTTATAGCATTGGAAAAATCAGTATCTTCTTGGGAAAAGCGAAGATTTGGTTCACTGAATGGGTCAAATTTATATACAAGCAATAGTAGTAGTAGCAGCACTAAAAACAGTCCTATCTCAGGTAAAATTTTTTAACGATACTAAGGTTGTGTGAAAGTATTCCTATTTACAATTGATTGATCGTTGGGTACTGATCAATGTCATATGTGTCAGGTCTTTCTTAGTGCAGATCGAATGCTATCGCCTGGATAGCCCAGTGGTAACATATTTGACTGTGAAGCTGAGTGATACCTCCAACCACCATCGTATTCCTATTTATCCCTTAGTAACTTTAATTCCCTAAAATACTTATAACAATTGTTCTCATTATAAAACAACAATCAGATAGATAACCGTTTCATTTTATTTGGAACATTTTGCCCATCAATTTAGCACTTTAGTGACTGAACATTTACATACCACGATAGTTATTATCCCTGTTGGACAACGATAAATATCAAATTAAAGGATTAGCTAGATTGAGTACAACGGGAATAACAAGATATGACATCAAATTAGTCACTTATTCTTCCGCTTGGGTTGCATCGACACCCGAACTAATGATAGGGAGTGAAGTAGTTGAGCATGTCGACCGCTTCACTTATCCTGGAAGTCTGGTGTGTGACGGAATCTCAGCACAGATACAGAAGACTCGACTAGCTTTTGCCAACTTGCGTCATTTATGGCGTAGGCGAAATATCCGTCTATCAACCAAAGGACGTGTTCACTGCGCAGCAGTTCGTTCCGTCCTACTTTATGGCAGTGAAACGTGGCCGCTAAGAGTAGAGGATACTTGTAGGTTACTAGTATTTGATCATAGGTGTCTTCAAAATATTGCTCGTATATCCTGAGACCATCGAGTAAGTAACGTAGTTGTTAGGAAACGGGTACTAGGTAAGGATGGCAAATCCATTGATGAAGTAGTGAAACTTCATCAGTTGAGATGGCTGGGACACGCGTTACGTATGACAAACGACCGACTGCCTCGACGTGCGATGTTCAGTGGTATAGGAGTAGGCTGGAAGAAAGCTAGGAGCGGCCAGACCAAAACATGGCACAAGTCCATGAAGTCACTGACAAGCGGACTGAGTCATGTTGGTAGGTGTAGACTATACCTGGTTGGGGACCGCGAGATCATAGCAACCGATTTTAAGAGACCTTGAATGACATGGCTCAAAATCGTTTGCGATGGCGCAGGTGCATACACTCTTTTTGTTCTCCCAAATTCTAATCTCCTGATTCCTCCTTGTCTCTTTTTTTTATCTTTCCAAATTTATTTCACGGGATTATACTCTTTAAATAACATCTTCAAACCCGAATGTTTCCGATTACTGCTTATACTCCTACTACCTCTACCACTACGGGATATGAATCGATAACTGCATCTCTGTGTTAATGTGGTATGGCAACTCGAACTGATGTACGTACGTACGAAGTTCTACGTTGTTACTGACTGACTGACTCATTCTTCCGAACTCGGATCTCTTGTATTATGAAAGTCAGTAGCCTTTTGGTTTAAATCTGTCTGCACCCATTTCTTGTCAATGTTCCTTTTAATTTTACCTAAATTATTAAAATGTGTAACTAATCAACTCTTAACGATATAATTCATCCATATTGTCCTTTCACTTCTTGGTCCTGGTAGTAAAAAGGGTAGCTACTCAGTCTACAGATATGGCTTTTTTAATCTGTGTATCAGTCAATAAGGCATTCAAATCCGACACAATGGATTGCATTCACAAATCCGAATTTGATTTGTCTAAATTTGATCCGTAAAGCAATATCACTAGTTCTCAGGTAGTATATGTAACTTATGACATGATTACTTACTTACTTATGCCTGTTACCCCCAATGGGGCATAGGCCGCCGACCAGCATTCTCGAACCCACTTTATCCTGTGTCTTCCTTTCTAGTTCTATCCAACTTTTGTTCATTCTTTTCATGTCGGTTTCCATTTCTCGACGTAATGTGTTCTTTGGCCCTGAGGATTCCATGTGAGGACTTGCCTTGTGACACAGTTGGACGCTTTTCTCAATGTGTGTTCGATTCACTTTCAGCGCTTCTTCCTCCACTGGGATATGGTTTGTTCTATCCCACAGTAGGTTGTTGTTCATAGTGTCTGACCAACAGATTCGAAGTGTTTTGCGTATACAGTTGTTAATAAACACTTGTATTTTTTGGATAATGGCTTCCATAGTTCTTCAAGTTTCCGCCCCATACAGTAGAACTGTCTTGACATTTGTATTGAAAATTCTAACTTTGGTGTTGGTTAACAGACAGTTGTTTCGAGTTCTAGATATTCTATAATTGTAGATATGCTGCTCTTGCTTTGCCTATCCACGCCTTCATATCTGCGTCCGATCCACCGTGCTTATCAGTGATGCTTCCTAGGTATGTAAAGGTTTTTACATCCTCCAAAGCTTCTCCATCAAGTGTGATTTGATTGGTGCATGTTGTGTTGTATCGGAGGATCTTGCTGTTCTCTTTGTGCATGTTGGCACCTGTTACTGAGGCTGCTGCTACACTGGTCGTCACCTACACTTGTCATTGCGTGTGCGATAGAAGAGTAAGATAATCTGCGAAGTCTAAGTAGTCCAACTGCATCCTATCTGTCCACTGTATTCCATGCTTCTCCCCAGATATTGACGTCTTCATAATCCAGTTGGTCAACATGAGAAAGAGAAAGGGTGAGAGTAAACAACCTTGTGCAGAAATCTATAAATGTGCTGTATAGCAAATCATCAAATATATGCAAAGTACAGAATTTGTCTCAAATAATCTTTGAGAATATGGTCAATAAATCTTAATTATCTAAAGCTATTAATTGAGGATGCGAGTACTTATTTTACAGACAACGTTAGCCGGACACAAAAAATTCATCTGTTCACTTGAATCTTCCCATTGATGTCTTTAGGACTGCAATTGATCAGTCTCTTATTGAGATATATGCATACTGTGCGTATTGTCTTAATGTACAAATATTATAAACAAAGATTTCTTTGTACTATCATGTCTGTATAAACATGTACGCTTGATCATATGTGACAGCCTACGCACATATCTCTCTAGCTAAAGTGTCAATCATTTAAATATCGGTGAATGAATCATTCTCTTCCCCATGTATATATGTACTCGAATCCTATTAATAGCATTTGCCTTACTTTGCTGTGTCCTTATTCAATTTAACTATAAATTTGCCTCTATATTCGCTCAGTCGCTCGGACATATTCACCTCTCTGCTTCAAAGTTACTCGATGTGATTGTAGCTTTGTTATCCATTCAGTAGCAATTTGGAAGACTCTCCGGGTCTCCTACATTGTATGAGCATTCCATGTACCTAAATAAATAGTTGCTCTGGTTGTCAGAAGGTGCATCAGCCTCGTAACTTCCGAAGGAACTCGGCTTTCACCATGAGGCGTCATAATTCTTCTAAATGAAGACCTTCTATCTCGCAGGGCAGAGTTTAAATGGTTTGAACAATTTTCTTCTGGTTAGCGTTTTTTTGGCGAGTTAGTTTTCTGTAAGATGGGGTCGCTAACCCCATGTCCAACCCTTCTCCTTTATCCGGGTTTAGGACCGGTAGTAGCCCCAGAGGGGCTCTAGGCAGAGTTTGTTGTTATCCATGCTATCCGCTAATAAACTAATCGTCGCTGCTCCTGATTCCAAACATCGTTCGGGATTTATAATATAACAATGGTTACCATGGTGATTGATTAACTTATACTACTTACTATTTATTAGTAATAAATTAAGTATCCTATTAATTAATGTAAGATCTTTATTTATTACATTATAGGTAGTGATAGAAATCATTCAAAAGATAGAATATTATCACATATGAAATCTAATAATCTACATCATATTAAAAGAATTTCACATAAAGATAAATGGAAATCACCTATAAAACTATCAGCATCAAAACAACGTGTTATTGAATGGTTAAAACAACAAGAATCATTTATGTCACAATTTATAATGTGATGAATAATTGTGAATGAGATTAAGATAAAGGAAATACTATAGAATATCTTCAATAATAATCATATAATCCATCTTATTCTTTGAGAAAATTTCTTTCCCTCTTATTGTACAGTAGTTATATTAATTGAATAAATAGATTATTTCAATATTATATTCTTATTTGAAATGATATTCATTGCTGAGGAATCCCAGGCTAGAACGAAACGGTTGTCCAATACTTCCAGGTTTTCTATGGTGGTGGTCTAGCTTCAATTGACTCATGATCTCAACTATTGAAACTACTATATTATTTCACAAAAACCCCTTCCGATATTAATCAACATATACTCACTAGTTGAAGTTAGACATTATCACCGTTGGATACCGGCTTAGTGGTCTAGAGGTCAAGCGTTCGCGCGCTAGACTGATAGGTCCTGGGCTCGATATCTCGCGGAGTGGGATTGTGGGTACGCACTGCTGAGGAGTCCCACAATAGGGTGAATCGGCTGTCCAGTGCTTCCAGGTTTTCCATGGTGGTGGTCTAGTTTCAACTGACTCATGATCTCAACTATTGAAACTACTATAATTTTCACAAAATCCCCTTCTGATATTAGCCAATATATACTCACTAGTGACTGGCTTCAAAAGTTATTTCCTGGAGTTCTTGTGAAGAGCAGTGACAAGTGGAGCTTAACCGGATTTATTGTGAGATAGTAACTCACTGAAGACAATGGTGGATGTGTCGCTCAATTTTGTGGATTAGTTGAAGTTAGACATTATCATTGTTGGATACCGGCCAACTCAATGGTCTATAGGTCTTGTTCACGCAAGATACCGATAGGTCCTAGGTTCGAGGCGGGATCGTTGATGCTCATTGATGATGAGTCCCACGATGTGACGAAACGACCGTCCAGTGGTTCCGGGTTTTTCATAGTGATCTAGCTTCAATTGACTCATGGACTCAATTATTGATCAATAAATAAGTATTTTAATTAGATTCAGATAAATTGTGCATTAGTAAGAAAGTTAATAATAAATGTATTTTCTTCTTATATGTCAATGGGTAAGAAATCGTATTTCTGACGCTTCATGACTTAATGTAAACCAAAAATACATTTATTTTAATTAATTTGTACAGCTTACTTGTAATCGGTTATAAGTAGTGTAAAACATTGGGTCAGGATTTTCTCCCAAAAAATACTCGACTTTTCCGAACTCAACATCTATATAAACCTATATATATATATATATATATATATATATATATATGTCTTACAAGAAGCAGGCTAGTTTATAGTCAGATTGTGGACGAATTGATCACAACTACACAGCCTGTCAAATATTAGAGCACTGCTGCAATTATTCCAGGTCAATAATTACTTTAATTCTTGATATTGGAGACTATTCTCTGGAATTGTCTGTTGAATAAGTGTATACTTGAAGAGTTTGTTAACATCTTAATGGCTATGTACATAAATGCCTAGGGCAGAATGAACACATGCAACCGCTTTTCTGCATTTTTCCAGTCCAAGAGTAGATTTAGACAAGAATTGCCCAATCTCACCATTCTTCCTTAACTTTGCCGTAGAGGATATTCTGGAAATAGCTCTGAAGGAAGTATGTGGTGATTTGTTTCCCGGAAGGAATTTTCAACTATGGATATAACGATAGTATTTTCCTGCTGTGCGATGATATATAATCGATTCAAGCTACAACTAGTTAATTGACAATTAGTGTCTGTACGTATGGCATATACCTCGCGCCTTCCTAGTGTGAAGCGCTTCTGTAAGACTGGGGGAAAATCCCTGCTTGCAATTATTCTTTTTGGTGATTCATTGGAAGTAGTCGAAAAGTCCGCATACCTAGAGGTAATTGTGAATGGTGATGGTGGCACGGTAGATGAAATCAGTTCATATATAGTGAGTCATAATGGTCAATCCGGATCACTTTTATAGTCGTAACGATGTCCTTTCAGCTGTAAAAAGTTGAGTTTACAACACGTTGATGGAATCAGCTTTTCCCCATGCTTTTAAAACCTAACATCTTCGAGTTGATGTTCGGTGACTCCTTATGTTCGATCATCCCTGCCGCTATCCAGTGGCAACACCACGCTAGTAGTATAGAAGTTCGGAAACATATCTGGGTACAGAGAAAATAATTCAGTTAGTGTGACTCTTAAAACACTGACTTCGGTGCTTTGGGTATGTTTTGAGAACGTTGTGTATTATTTGCCAACGCTGAGACTGATTGGGAAAAGAGGATTGATGCAGTGATATGAAAGAAAGCTGTATAGGACTGATATCTGTAAGTTTATCACGACTCCATGGAGAAGTTATCAGATATAACTCGAAACAAAAACCCATGATGATCTTGCTATGGTTTTCTTTTACGTTTTTTTATAAAAGTAACAGGAACTCCATTCAATGAATGAATTCTTTCTTCATTGTATGTTTAAATGAATTGTATACCCTATTACACAGTATTCTTGTCCACTTACATTTTGGATCGTACTACCTTTCCATCCTCTATTTCATGTCTTTATTTTGTGTGGTGTTTACTACTTTTGGTGCCCAGTCGTATCAGATTTAGTGTATACACAAGATAAATTATTTGAATACTGATGTGAACAGAGAAACAAGAAACCTTGATAAACTACGAAAACTATTTTTCGGGACGTTATTTCATTTAATTCAAAGCTTGTAAAACACTGACATTTATTTTTGTCCCTAATCTATTCTACAGATCATAAGCTTTCGTTTGATGTATGATTCACTGCTATAACCCTTTTTGTTTTAAAGCTATTGTAATTTAAATGTATTAGTTTGTACTTCATTTTCTATGCTAATCCCCAGTGTTGGACATTGTGGTGGGTTAATCATCTATTTATTCATGTATTATCAGAATGGGTTTTGTGGAGAATTTTAGAAATTTTCACAGGTTGAAATCATGAGTCAGTTGAAGCTAGACCACCATTGAAAACCTGGAAGCACTGGACGGCCGTTTCGTCCTGGTATGGGACTCCTCCACAAAACCCATTCTGATAATAATAATCAACTGCTCACTAGTGACTGACTTCAGGAAAAACTCCTGAAGTTCTAGTGAGAAGCCGTTACCAGTGGAGTTCAACTGGTCTGTTGTGAGATAACAACTCACTGAAGACAATGGTGTACGGTGGCGCAACTTCGTGGATTGGTTGAAGTTAGACATTAACACCGTTGGATGCCGGCTCAGTGGTCTAGTGGCTAAGTGCTCGCGCGCGAAGCCAGTAGGTCCTGGGTTCGGGCCCCGCGTGGTGCGGGATCGTGGATGCGCACTGCTGAGGAGTCCCGTACCAGGACGAAACGGCCGTCCAGTGCTTCCAGGTTATTCATGTATCTTTTTACACTGATCTGAAATCGGGAACCGGATCGGAATTGAGAATAAATCGAGTAGTGTTCTAGTTGACTTATCTTCTTTCACTCGCACGCTTATCAGCCAATCAGGTGATAGAATAGTTTTCTTCTCTCTATCCCACTTCGAACTCACGCATACTGACCTCAAGTTTAAGCCGGTCAGCCTATGGGGTCAAGGTGTTAATCTCTAGATTAGACAAGTTATCCTCAGCATCAAAAGTGGGTAGACAGATCATGGACATAACAGAAAACCCGTCAATTCAATACACAGCAGTGGGTTCAGTGGTTAGTGCGTTCGAAATCCAACCATTAAGTAACAGATTCTAAGCCTATTGCACCTAGTTTGATTTGATTAACACCTATACATAATTAGAATATAGTTCGAAATGAAGTACACAAATTGATACTTGATAAATAAGTTAAGTCATTATATACTTAAAATCATGGAGAGACTAATTTTTGAACGAGCCAATTAGAGGCGTTTTAGAGATTTCAAGGTCACGGCGCTAACTACAGTGCTTAATGCTAACGTACGATCAGTTCACAGGGAATTTTGTACAAAATGTGATAATTGAGCGGCTATAACAAATAAAACGGCGGGACTATGGTTTGTGGATGAATCAACCAGGTATAAGATAATAGATCTCGGATTTTGGCGCAAAATTCACTCACCCATTTGGCTAAACAGAGTTTTGGCATTATGGCTGGTGTCAGTTCCTGACGAAAACTCTATATATAACTCCTAAGGCAAATTATGACAATTATCGCGAACTGGAAAATAAAAGCACCAGTAACACTGGCTGCAGCCAGGTACTAATATATATATGGATATTTGGAGAGCGTACAGACTTTTTCAAAGGCTTGATTATGTGCATCGTGTCGTTACGCACAAGTAGCATTTTGTGCACTCAACAACCGGAGTGCACATAAACAATATTGAAGCTATGTGGTCGTAACTGAAAAAGTATTTGAGAATTTATCATGACTCGAGAGGCCGACTATTCTGTAGCCATATGGATGATTTCCTCTACTGCATGCATTACGATTTTAGAACCTGTGAACCTCTTCCTAACGTTGACAAGTTCTTGAACCACGTATAAGTGTATCCGCTTTATTTCTCTAGTTATATATAATATATTTTTACACTATACTGACTGTTTGTTGATTGGCTAATATTTTTCAAGGTTGCTTAAGGTTCGTCCATAAATTAGTCTCGCCAAAATCATATACTGAAATCTGACTTTAATAAGAGGAGGAAATTATAGTTATGATTGATTTTTAAAATGTAATTGAAAAATCTCATAAATATACATGTTGTTTAAACTATTTCGTGAATTGGTTGAAGTTAGACATAACACCGTTGGATACTCGCTTAGTGGTCTAGAAGTCAAGCGTTCGCGCGCTAGATTGATAGGTCCTGGGCTCGATATCTCGCGGGATGAGATTGTGGGTACGCACTGCTGAGGAGTTCCGCAATAGGACGGAACGATCATCCAGTGCTTCCAGGTTTTCCATGGTGGTCTAGTTTCAATTGACTCATGATCTCAACTATTGAAACTACTATAATCTCCACAAAAACTCCTTCCGATATTAATCAACATCTACTCACTAGTGATTGGCTTCACGAGTTATTTCCTGGAGTTCTTGTGAGGAGCAGTGACCAGTGGAGTCCGACCAGGTCTGTTGTGAGATAGTAACTCACTGAAGAAAATGGTGGATGTGTCGCTCAATTTCATGGATTAGTCGAAGTTAGACATCAACACCATTGAATGCCAGCCTAGAGGTTAAGCGTTCACACACGAGACATATCGTTCCTGGGTTCGATATCACATGGGGTGAGATTGTGGATACGCACTGCTGACCAATCCCATATTAGGACGAAACGGTCGTTTTATTTCTCATATTTTTAAAAAAGATAATTAGCCGGGGTCCCACGTATTATTATTATTATTATTAAGTGAAGATTAATTACACCTTAAGGAGACAAATCACATTATCATAAGAATCGATCGGACATAAAGATTATCTATGCCTAGTAACAATCATGAGTATATATATATATATGCATGTATAAATATTCCTGTTTTTACTTATATTTAGATAAAAATTAAAAATCAATTAGTTTCCAAGGTCAACACAATATAGAAGGAAACAAAATAGACAAAACAAAACAAACAAATTATTAAAAGAACAAAATCATTAATGTGATATAACAGAAAAGAAGTAATAGAATAGAGTACTTTTTCACAAACACGCACACACACACACACTCCCCCCTCTCTCTCTCTCACACACACAAACGTCAAAATCATCACAGGAATTGAAAAAAATTACACATATATATATATATATATATATATATACCTCTTCATAAGAGACAACTAAATAAATGATGTGGAAACAAGCAGTGATCATATGATAAAGTGGCTTTCCTCTTGACAACAAGCGCAATCATCATCAACAACATCATGATTTGCATTACATCATACCATGAATACGTATCCAATTAGAAACACAATAATATAATATCAACAACCTTTAAGGATTTTAAGAAGAAAGACACCCCCCCCCCAACGTGAAAAGGAATCTGAAACTAAAAGAGGAAATAACGAAAAGAAGAAGAAAGAAAATAATGAGTTTCACAGAGAATTGATCTTGTAGTGTGTAATATATGTGTGTATATATACATATCGATGTTTCTATAAGTATCCCGAGTGTACCCCCCCCCAAAAAAAAACACATACACACACACACACGAGTACACAAGAAAGAGAGAGGTGGAGAGACAAAGAGAGGACCTCCTTTCTGTGTAAATTGATCATAAAAAATAAGTTTGATGTTGTAATATGGTGTGGATTTTGTTAAATATTATTGCATAATTATATAAAACATGTATATATATATGTATAGCTTCGATGTACATTAAACAGTAGTATCGGAATATTTTAAAAAATTTCTTTCTTTTTTTGGTATGAGCAATTCAAAAAGTTTTTTTTGTGTTTAATACTTTAAAACAGAAAAAAGACAAAAAAAAAAAGAAAAGAGCCAAGTAACAACAGGAATCAGGTTTTACTATTGAAAATACACCAATTCATACGCGCACACACACACACACATATACACATGTGCGTGCATGCGTGTGCGTACTTATGAACATGTTGAGGAAGACATGTGTTGTCAATTGATAAACATTACAAAAAAAAAAGAAAATGTAACAAGAGAATTTAAGTTTAGTTGTTAAGTATGAAATGATGAGTTCATATTCCCTGTTTATATGTATGCATGTTTATACGATGGTGAGGGGGGCTCTACCATCTAAAAAAAAGCGTTTCCTTCAATAGATAGATCATGTAAATTCTCTTATTATTATTATTATTATATAATAATTGATTACATAAGTTAACTTTACAATAGAATAATATGAGAGGTATTAAAAGAAAACACACACACATACACATTTACATTGATTGTTCACAATACTCAAAATTTAATCTAAAATTACATGATAGTATCATAGAATTAAAAGGAGATTAGATTAGGAAAGAAAAACATACATCTGTAACACCCCCCTTCCTCCGTCCTCCTCCTTACTTACCTCAAATGGAAACAAATGACTGGTTCAACTGATCAATAATGTCATAATTCATGAGATGAAATGTTAAAGAGTTGGAAGATAGATGTGTATGTGTGTAGTAGTAGTAGTAGTGGTAGTAATTAGATGGATAGATGAAGGACAGTATGAATACATAGAAGATTATATGAATATTGATAATGGGATAGATTAATCAATTGAACAAAATCCTATTGAATATAAAGTACTTCGCACAATCATCATCAGGAGTAGATGGAATTATAGTTCTACTACTACTACCATTACAACTACTTCTTCTTCATCATCTTTTTCTATAAAGTGATAATATTGAAATGTTGGCATTTTACATTATTGTGTTTGATTTCTAGCTTGATCTCGAGCGACCAAAATCAACGGTGTTAAAGAGGATAACGGTTTCGAACGTCGTACAATAAAAGGATGCTAAAATATTATTTAAAAAGTTTAAAAAACAAAAGAAAGAAAATTACATAACATTTCAAGAATATATTGAAATAGATTGAAATTTTTATAGAAGTTCCTCAATGCCCTGGTATGGCCGAGAGTGCGGAGAGTCAGCTCTTACATGGCCACGTGCATACAACCACTGTCACAAAATTCCTACTCACTACATTCTCGCGACATTACTGTTTTTTACGAAATTGAAAGGACAATAAGAGAATGCGTAACGGAAAGAGAACGATGAAAATCCCTCCGCAGCGTTTTTGTTGGACAGTACTGTCATTTATTTGTTTCTTCTCCCTGTTGTGTATTTTAACCTTTGTTCAGATCTTGTTTAACCACATCTTTTGTTCTCCAGTCTTCCTCGTTTGAGCCTTTATTATGTGATTTTAACTAAAGACTTATCTTTTGTTACCTAATTTTCTATTGCATGTTACCGGACTATTGACAGAAAGGTCGTGTTTGACTAAGCTCAAGGTCATGACGTGGTTCAGTGTGTGCCTGTTAACCTTATGACTATCTACTTGGTAGGATTGCTGGAATCCCTGCAGATAGATGTTTGATCCCATCTTGTTGGGAATATTTGTATTGATTCTCAGGTATCGAACCCTTTGGTACTAACTGTTTCTTTTATTGTTTAGCGCGTTACTTTGCGTTAGAGAAACTTCTGACTGTATAGCACAGTCTGTACCGTTTGATGTATTTTGTATTTTTGATGTAATTTGTTCTGTTTTCTAAATTAGAACCGTTTCTATTGAGCACAGAGTTTGTGTTTTGATATAATATAATACGAGTATCTCAAAAACACGTTGTGAGCTATACAGAGGAACGTGGTCTGGTCTAATCGAATAAATGTTGAGTTCGTCAGTCCGTTGTTCCAACCGAATATTGGTTGTTCGGTTGCTACAGAATGTCCAACGCTTTAACCGAGTTGGTAGACACGGAGAGCCCACCTACGGCAGTTCGAAAACCTTTATTCCAAACTAATGGTGCATATGGGCTGGCTCCACTATCCTGAGGGAACAAATGGCATATAAACCAATCGTTGGTCACCGGCTACCATAGGAGTTACTCCAATACCTTGTGGATTAGACCTTTAGGTCAAAGGCTCGGGGAGTGAACTCCTAAGATAACCATTTGCTTCGGTTTGGGCACCTGCGCAGTATCCCAGCTCTTACACAAATCGAATGATTTATATGGCGCATATGTATTCGGTGCCCCTTTGTATCAATATTTATGTATTCAAATGAATAACTGATTATATAAGCTATTTAAAGCTTTATAACTAGTAGATTCAATGTGAATTAGATGAATTTCAATACTTGCTAAATAACTCATACATAAAAGATGATGCTTGACATAAGAGATAGTAATATAAACAATCCAGATAATGACAAATTAATCAATACCAATGAAATGGTCATTATGTATTATAGAAGTTTAAAGTATACACATCTATTTGATGCTTATTTATTTATTCATTTAAAGTGGATATTTGATTCATTCTGTGAAAATGAATCTCATACAATGAAGGGACTGTATGATTCTGTTCTAGTATAACATGAATTATCATTTAAGGATAATAATAATACACTACTATATCAATTGATAAACATTTACTATTACCTTAAATGATCTATGATTGAAGTTATGATTATGATTATTAAATAAGGATAATAATGTTGAATGATTGAATATTGTGGAACCTAACATGATTGGACAGATAAATTAGTTCCAATTATCATACTACTACTACTACTACTGAATAAGCCAATAAATAGAAAATCAATATGGAGAAAGTTAACAGTGATCGAAGATAATGACGTGGCGTGCAGATGTAGACTATATGGTTCGAGGTTTGTGTGATCATCGTAATCAGTGGTTAGAGGGTTTATTCGACATGGCTCAAAACTGTTTGCAATGACGCAGATATGTTCATGCTTTATCTTTCTTGATGTGCTGAAGTTTCTGAATTATTCTAAAAGGTATTTTTTTTATTCCATGAATCCATGCGTTTTTAAAAGTTACATCTTGGATGCCTAATCTTTACTACTGCTATTAGTACTTTTGTAGTGAACGAGGCAAAATCTGACTCACACGTCCTCGTCGTGCCTCCTGAATAATGAAACGAATGACTCATAAACTAACGTGAGCGGTAATACGGGTGGTGGAGATCGGGCTAATCATCCACTCTTACCTATACCGACCAATCGATTACGAAACCCACAGAGAAACATAGCACAATTACATTTGGAATGGAAAACGACAAAAATTTTTCGAAAGTGGTGCATGCATCATATAGAGTTGCTCGTCATTGGGCAAACTTCAAAGGATTTCAGAAACGACTATTCTGGCCCCGGTAGTTTTGCCGTGCTTCGATGTGGCCTGTTTCTCTCCAGAAGGGCCTAATAGGCTTCACCAATTTATTTGGCTGGAAGGGGGGAGTGACGAGAACACACGTGGGGACAACCAAATGTATCTCAATACAAAATTACAGAATCTCTCAGTAAAATCTTACAACTATACAATAAATACTTCATTTGCAAAATGCTAATCAATCGTTTCATGCTTTCTTGTTTCGTTGTTTCCACACCAATCATCCTCTTTTCTCTGATCTTCTTAACCTTCTGCTGCCAGGTAGTTCACTTTCGATTGATGATACATAATACTTATATCTGTCGACATCAGCAGCACACACCACACTCTTACTACCTATAGTATTCCAGCATCTTGCTGTACCGATATGGTGTAGCAACCTGAACCGATGCATATATATGCCAAATTCTACATTGTGCATGACTTACCGATGTCCTTCTGTTTCTGAATTGTTTGAGACATTTTACTCATCATTCATCAGCAATAACCATGTTGAGAATAATCAACAACATGTTAAATTACGGTAGAATAGGTAAATAGAGAGTAATGTGGAATGATAGTTCACCAATTTTTTACAACTTAATGAACTGATATCAGAAATATTTATAAAAAAGAAAGATTGTGACTAGTAGTAAAATCCAGGATGCACATTTTACTTCATTTGGAACTATTCAAAAGGATTCTCCTGTCGAATTCCAGTGTTCGCAATCATAGCGAGAGTCGAATCCAATGATTATCACTTTAAACAGCAACCCATCATTTACTCAGTTAATAACTCAGGGGAGCTGCTAACTTGTTAAACAAGTATGATATTTATGTTATTATTAGTAGTAGCAGTAAGAGGGGAAACTTGGAGAACTTTGAAAGCCATCATCCAGAAGATACAAGTATTTATTAACAGCTTTCTATGCAAAATACTTCGAATCCGTTGGCCAGACACTATCAACAGCAACCTACTATGGGAGGGAACAAACCAGATTACAATGGAGGAAGAAATCAAGTAGTACTGCAAGTAGATGGGACACACATTGTGGAAAGCATCCAACTGCGTCACAAGGCAAGCCTTCACATGGAATCCTCAAGATCAAAGGAGAAGAAGAAGACCAAAGAACACATTAAATCGAGAAATGTATATAGACATAAGAAAAATGAACGACAATTGGATAGAACTAGAAAGAAAAGCCAAGGACAGAATGGGGTTGGAGAATGCTGGTCGGCAGCCTATGCTCCATTGGGGGTAACAGGCGTAAGTAAGTAAGAGGTAGAGCATTATTCCGCTATTGACATACCAACAATATTTCTAAAACAGTATTTTCTAATGAATAATGAATAGATAAATACATAATTAAAAGGACATGACTTAGAAAAAAAGAAATACTTACCTTAAGTAGTTCAAATGCAGATGCACGTAAATCTACATTGACTTCAAGGCATCGATCTAAGAAATCTAGAAACTCTGCACTTAATTTATCACGTTCTTTAATCTCTGGTTTACCGTTTGTACCAATTAAATAAAGAGCCTACATCATTTCATTCAAATGTGTGTGTTTTTTTTTTTCGGGAAAAAGAGAAGAGAAGACACGTACATAAGTAATTTATGACATGATGAACATTTTTGTAAATAACTATCAATGTTTAAAACTTAACATATTGGTAGTGATTTCAATAGTTGAGATCATGAGTCAATTGAAGCTAGATCACCATGGAAAACCTGGATACCCGTTCAGTAGTCTAGTGGTTAAGCACTCGTGCGCCAGACTGATAGGTCCTGGGCTCGATATCTCGCGCAGTGGGATTGTGGGTACGCACTGCTGAGGAGTCCCACAATAGGATGGAACGGACGTCAAGCAGTGCTTCCAGGTTTTCCATGGTGATGGTCTAGCTTCAATTGAATCATGATCTCAACTATTGAAATTACTACAATCTCCAAAAACCCTTTCGGATATTAGTAGTGATGATGATGAGTTTCAAATGATTAAAGTGAATTTAAAAGGTACCAATAACATTGATACTAGCAGTTAAGATAGATTTGGAGCTTAGATGAAAATGTATTATTGAATAACTAAGAATAAGGGATTGAATCATGTAAATCAATCTAGTCAATCATTAGAGTATAAGTTACTTTATAACAACAGATCAATGGACACCACCGACATAGATATGACAGTGGAATACTCGATGTTGCACTACCCAGTATGGACAAAGATAAATTATTATCTCGACCTCCAGAGTGTGCTCTATAATAACAGACACACCTTGTTAAATAGAGTCAAAAAATGTAAAATATATATATATATATATATATATATATATATATATATATACAGAAGAGATTAGTTCATATCGTCTTCAACTGTTTGATTTAAAACGACAAATCATATAGTCAATATACTTATTACACTGAACTTTTTATAGTTGATAGATTAGTTGTTTATTTCAGTCAGTTACAATGTAGGACCAGGTATACATATGGATCGGTTTAAGTTGCCATACCTCATTAACACAACAAAATGAACACCGAATTCATAGAAGTAATTACTTCAATGGTAGTAATAGGTTGTTTACTTAGTGCAGATTAGTAGATAGTTGATGTATTTTCTTATTTCTTATTATTGTTCTTATTATCTGGTGTTGACGTTGAGATCTACTGACGTTCTATTCAGGCCAGTTATATATTCTTGATCAAAGTGGTGTTAAAGTTTTGTAGAATAGACACTGGTATAGTATCTACTGTAGATATTCGTCTGAGATAAATTCGTGTCTTATTGGTGTAAAGCAGAAAACCGAGCATTATTTCAAAATCCAATTAATACTAAGAATTACTGGTTGATATAAAATGGATCACCTTCATACATTGTGTTGATACTAAAAAAAATACGTTTTAGTCTACAATAACATGTTATTAATTAGTCACTTCTTTGCATTCAACCACTAAACGCTCTCAGTCTGAAAAAATCTAAGACGATGAGTTAGATATATAGAGTTATACAGAAACAGTTATTCTACACAGCTTTGTGTTTATTAGCATCAGTAATCTTGAAAAACATTGTTCTCTCCCAAAGATTTGAAAGATACCCCAGTCAAAAGTATTATCACTAAGCTTTTTTGCCCACAATATAGTTTAACATAGACAAGGTTGTACATAACTCCGCCTGGAGCTCCTCTGAGGCTACTGCCGGTCCCAAGCCCAGATAAAGGAGGAGGGTTGGGTATGGGGTTAACGACCCTTTCACGTAGAAAACTAACTCGCTAAAAAAACACTAACCAAAAAAATTATTCAAGCCATCTAAACTCTGTCCTGGGAGTTAGAAGGTTTTCATTTAGAAGAGTTATGACGCCTCATGGTGTAAGTCGAGTTACTTCAAAAGCCACGAGGCTGATGCCCCGTACGGCAACCAGAGTGACCATTTATTTAGGTACATGAAATGCTCCATTGAGAGTAACAGGCGTAAGTAAGTAAGTAAGGAAGGAAGGAAGGAAGGAATGTAAATGCCGACCAATTATGAGATATTAATTAGTGCTTATTAATGATATAGTGTTTCATCACATTGACTGATCATTAAATGGTAGTCTTAAAAACTGACAGAATTCTATTGATCAAGCAGTAATGCGACCCACTAGTCTACATGACAAAACATCACGTGCATTATATTATTTATTGTTAGGTAGTTGGATGTAGTCAGAAAGAAACCCTACTTGACCTAAGTTTTATACTAGTTGAGATTCATCAACGAAGCATATCTGCAATCTTCAAGAATCTAATGCTCCCTATAAATATAACTATTTCACAGGTCATTTGCGGTTCGAGTATCTGATTGGTAACGTCCGAAACTGTGCATTTTTCATTCTATGTGTAATAACATCTCTTATTCTTAAAAAAAGACTGTAAAGATGAGTTTTAACATATGCTTACTGCTAATGAAAACATCATAACTATCAAAGTGACAATAATACATCTTCGAGATATAATATTTAATCAACTGAACAGTTGCATCTCAGATATGTGGAACATTTATCTCCTAATTATTCATTCATTCATTGAAACTCTACTCATCGTCTTTCTGTTCAGATATATGAGGAACATTGTTTCCAATTAGATCCTCCATTAGACTTTACTCCCTAGGTGGTTGAGAAAGATTATGACCATAATAATACACAACTAGCTGCGATCTATCACACTTGATAGACAGAGGTCATTTAGTAGGTAGGACCGAATCCTTTAGAGTAATTTACCGCATAACTACTACTATTCTTTATAGGGTTTGATTTCATCTTTTATATATAGCAGAAGCTATATGGTTTCGAGCTAACAACCTAATTCTTTGTATTCATTATAATAAATTTTGACATCCTTATCGTTTCCGTGGCTGAATTAGGCTTGTTGTTCATTTATTTTTCTTCATCACTTTCACAAATATATTCTTTACTGTTTAATTATTTGAATACATCTCTTATTGCCTAGTTTTAATCATTTTTAACGATGATTATTTTACTATGGATTTTTTCTTCAAGTTTTGGTCTACTTCCCACATTGAGACATTGATTCCAACATTTGTTATTCTTATTTATTTGAATACATAAATATTAGTACAAAGGGGCAGCGAATACATATGCGCCATATAAATCACTCAATTTGTGTGAGGGCTAGGATACTGCCCAAGTGTCCAGACAGAAGCAGGTAGTTATCTTAGGAGTTCATTCCCCGAGCCTTTGACCTAAAGGTCTAATCCACAAGGAAGTGGAGTAACTTCAGGAGATACAGTCCTATGGTAGCCGGTGACCAATGATTGATTCATATGCCATTTGTTCCCTCAGGATACTGGAGCCAGCCCATGTGCATCATTGATTTGGAATGAGGGTTTTCCAACTCCCCTAGGTGGCCTCTAAGAGTCTACCAACTCGGTTAAAGCGTTGGACATTCTCTTTTCGTCCTCTGAATTTTGTAAACAACACCCCCGCCACGAAAGGTAGTGAGTGGGACTTCTGTGGCAGTGGCTATCTACGCATGGTCATGTGAGAGCATCTCCAGAGGGAGAGCTGACTCTTCCCACCTTCGGCCGTACCAGGGCATTTGGGGGGCGTTATTCTTATTACAACTAATATCTGTTATTACATCATCTATTCCATTGTTATCATAAACTACCTTAATAAATTTCAGATTACATACGTTAAAATAAATATTACTGTAAATTAAATTGAATAAAGACTGATGAAGATCTAATAAAGAGAACAATATTGTTCATTTATATGTTGTGCTAACAACAAATGCAGTTTAATGTAAGGCATTAATATTTAAGTGATAAATTCCTTGTACCTGATTGAAACTTTATTTGTCTACATTGAAGTTCTACAGAGATTTAATTAATCAGATTTTCATAGCCGAATTAAGTAAATGTATAGTTCCGGTAATCTTTTACAAAGTTACTCAATTACAATTACAAATATTTATTTTTGCACATACACACATATATAATGCTCAACTATCAATATAATGACTGCATTTCAATAATTGAATGCCCCAAAATGCCCTGGTACGACTGAGATTGGGAAGAGTCAGCTCCCCCGCTCCAAATGTTTTCATATCGCCACGCTTATACATCCACTACTATACAAGTCCTACTCACTGCCTTTTTGCGGTATTACTGTTGTTTACGAACTTGAGAGAACGAAAATCGAATGTCCGGCGCATTACCGGTTTGGTAGACATGGAGGATCCACATAGGGGAGTTGGAAAACCCTCGCTCTAAACCAATGGTGCACATGGTCTCCACGATCCTGAGAGAAAAAAACGCACACGAACCAATTACTGGTCACCGTCTACCATGAGACTGCATCTCCGTACGTTGCTCCACTACCTTGTGGGTCATACCTGTAGGTCGAAGGCTCCGGGTGTATCGTCTTAAGAAAACTACCTGTTTCGGTCTGGGCACCCGGACAATATCACAGTCCACACACAAATCAATTGACTTATGTGGCGCATATGTATTTGATGCTCTTTCCTACCAATATTTATGTGTTGAAATAAATAAATAAATAATAAAAACAAAAACAAAGGAAAAATTTACAAGACTGAGAGGTTTTATTTTCCCAACGTTTCAAATATTCAATAAGTGTTTTGTATCAAAGACTTCTAAATATTTTCTGTTCGTTTGATCAGTGTAGACATTGTATAATGGAGTATAATTTTCATTAAATATTTCATTTTCGATTTAACATTTTCAGTCAGTCAGCAACAACGTAGAACTTTGTATGTATGTACATCAGTTCAAGTTGTCATACCACAACATTATCACAGAGATATAATTGTCGATTCAAAATCCCATAGTGGTAGAACTAGTAAAAATAGAGGCAGTAATCGGAAAGTAAAAATTCACTTGGTGTTGTTTTACTTGTATCTTCCCATTTTGTTATTTAGGACTGTAATGGATCAGTCTTATGTTGGCATATGTACATCCTGTGCGGATTGCCTCGATATAGCCTTAGGTCACATGCATTATAAGCAAAGATGGATGATAGTGGCTAGTAGTGGAATCCAGTTTGACGCGCGTTTCGTCCTATTTGAGATTCGTCAGCTGGGAAAACATCGCAAAGACGCGAGTAACTTTAATTGATATATCTTTATGCGGCTAAAGTTGAGATTACTAGGCAAGGAAATATTCAAAATAAATAAATAAATAAAAACTTACACGAACAGGATTTTCATTTAAATATGGTGGTTCACCATCAATCATTTCAATAGCCATAATACCAAGTGACCATATATCTACTTTTGGTCCATATTGTTTTCTTGTTACTACTTCTGGTGCCATCCAATATGGTGTACCAACCATTGTAGAACGTTTTGTTTGTTCTGGACTAAGTTGAGCACAAAAACCGAAATCGGTTAATTTTACTGAACCATCTAATCCTAATAAAATATTATCTGATTTAATATCACGATGAATCACTTGATTTTTATGAAGAAATTCCAATGCTTGTAAACACTGTATTGTAATATAGAAGTATAATAAACAATCATTTGAATGTATCATCACCATCATAACCATATTGAATTCAACCATATTCACAAGTGTGTACGTATTTCGAAGATGAAGAAGAAGAAGAAGAAAAAAAACATGTAGAGAAACGAGAAATACAGAATAAATAGAATGAGAAAAATTATCATTCAATAAAATTTTGTACAGTAACATCAGGGACTGATCATAATTAGATAACTATTTGTAGTCAGCCAGCTACAACGTAGGACTAGGCATATATATATTAGATGAAAACCAAATTCATAGAAGTAGTTCATTCAAAGGTGGTCATATATAAAAGAAATAAGAATTGGTTGGTAGAAAGAAAGGTACAAAGCAATTTCAATCTCACGGTTTAAGGAGAGACAAAGAGTGTATACATCTACGCCATTGTGATCGATTCTGAACTATGTCACACACAGTCTCCAATCATTGGTTACGATAGTCACGTCGACTCCAACCAAGTAGTCTGCATCTTCCAACATGGCTCAGACTAAAAGTTAGTGACTTCAAGCACTGATGCTACGACTTGGTTTGGCCACCCCTAACTTTCATCCAGCCATTCTAACAGTAGTCAGCATTGCACGTCGTGGTAATCGGTGTTTAGGTATACGTAACACGTGGCCCAACCATCTCAGTCGATGAAGATTCACAACCTCGTCAATTGATTTACCATCATTCTCTAATACCCTGTGTTGAATCTCACTGTTATTTAGCCGGTGATCCCAGCAGATGCGAGCAATATTTCTAAGGCATCTGGTTAGACTTGCAAGATAACTGAAGTTGTGAACGCGTTCGACTACTTTACTCCCTATCCTTAGTTCAGGTGTTGACGCAGGCTAGTCCTGAAGCAACGACTTGCATTTAGAGGAAGAGAAGCGCATCCCAAACATTCTGGTATTGTTGTTCAGTGCTACCAAAACACTGTATTTTATCAACGTCTTCACTAAACAGGACTATATGATTAACTATTTGTAAGCAAAGAAACATTGATCAGTTGTTTTATTTCATTGTGGGAAACTTCTCAATAGTGCACACTTACATCATCAGGGACCATATATAACAGCTTCAGGTTTTGTGGTAAGTGCCTAATATTTTTGATTAATGGATTAAAGACTTGATAATTGGATATTACAGACTTCAATCGGTTCGTGATGCTTCCGATGTCAATAATCTATGGTTGCCTTATACTTGATATTGTCGAACTCTACTACTCACAGTTTCCCATTAGAATTACAGAAATTAGTCACTAGTGAGCACATGACTATTAGATGTATGGGGGATTTGTGAAAAAAAAACAACAGTAAACTAAAGACATTTAACACTAGTTTACTTAGTTATTACTAACAGTTAGTAATTCCCCGTTGTTGATATACAGAACTGTAATTTACCAGTCTCTGCTGGTGTACGTCCACCATGAAACGATTGTCTTGACATATTCATAAAGTTTGAAGTTTTACAATATTTACTATATGGTTTAGTGAATAACAAGATTGTGTTTGAAGCGATGGTTAATGAACTCAAGTCTAATTGTGGACATCAACACTGCGATGTCGTAAGTAGATCCAACTGACTAGTCCCAAATAGGAAACATGAGTTCTTGATTTCACTGTTAAGTAAGACAGTGAATACACTGAAATTAGTGTGTAGTTGATACGATATTTTCATAGCTACAATCGATTACGTACCAATCAGATCGAAATCTAAAGGGAAACGTTCAATTTCTTAAACTTAAAATGTAGGATATATATTCCATATATAAAAAAACTGCCTTTCTGCTTGTCTATATACACAAATTAAACAAATAAATGAAAAAGGAATTGGGAAATATCTCCTAAAACAACTTTTCATAGTTTTATAAGCATTTCGTATAAGGAAATAAGGAAAAATCTCTGTGGGGTGGTGGAGGGGATTTGTAGCTCAGGTGGATGATTATGATAGAGTTTTGTTCTGTGAGCCAGCTCAGAGAATCCGGTGTTCATTTTGTTGTGCTAATGAGGTATGGCTACTTGGATCGATGCACATATGTGCCTGGTCTTACGTTGTAGCTGACTGACTGACTGTTACTTAGAAACTTGAAGACTACGCATGTTTTGTATTTTCAGAGACCATTTGGTTATCTTTGAAATAATCCAGAGAGGATTACTGTCAAGTATACACTCCTTTTGGTTGTGAGACAAACATCTAGCGTGTTTTGTTTACTCAACTTACCTACCTGAGTACTTTAATATAAAAACATAGATGAAAAGATACCGAGGTTTTTTGAAAAAAAAAATATACATCCGTTCCTGAAAACTCACAAACCGACATTGAAGTGTGTAGATATTTGAAATTTATTTCTCACATTGACTAAATTGACCAAAAAAGTATGAGCTAGCTGGGAGTCTTATCGATACTGGTGGGTTTGTGTCGGATGAAATCTTGGTATGAATTCAGATAACCTACCTAGATTTTGTCAATTTGCATCACTTATGGTATACGCTAGATGTTTGTCTTACAACCAAAATGAGTGCATTGATCACCTCTCCGCTTTTTCCAACCAGTCCCAGTGTCGGCAAATAAATTCTCTGGGACGAAATTCGTAGAACATGTCCAAGCCACCAAAGTCGGTGTTTCAAGATGGTGACACCAATTGCATTATCATCTCTGTGCCCGAACACACGATGCCGAACCTCTGCATTACTAACATGGTGTTGTCACTGAATATCAGCAATCCTTCGAGGACAACAAGGATCAAACACAGAGAGTCATCTAACATCCTCAACTCGGAGAGGACAGATTTCATAAGCATAGAGCAACACTGCTCTCACCGACGTGTTGTAGATCCGACCATTCACAGTCAGACTAACATCATGAAGGCGCCAAAGATGGCCCAGATTAACATAAGCAGTTTTTAAGACTATTGTTTTATTCGTAATTCGATAGATTTATTACACTTGAATTATGGTTTCGATTTGTAATTTTGTTTTAACTACCACTACTACTACTACTACTTTTATGAATCCGGTGTCCATCTTGTTGTGTTAATGAGGTATGGCAACTTGGACCGATGCATATATTTGCCTGGTCCTACGTTGTAGCTGACTGACTGACCACCACTAACACTATTACTTACTTCTATTAACTTGATATTTCATTTCGTTTTATGACTACTGAGTCAAAAAAGAACATGGAATATATATGCACACTTACCTCTCTGCATACAGCTGCAATTTGTCCTTCATCCATTAATGTTTCAGTAACAACTTCTGTTAATGAACCACCATCTAAATATTCCATTACAACCCATAATTCATCACCAACAAGATAACTATCTAAATAATTAACAACATTTGGATGTTTTTTAACTTTCATTACATAAATTTCATTAACAATTAATTCTTTTTTAGGTTGTTTTTTTAAATTCATTTGTTTTATTGCAACACGACGTCCAGTTGTTGATTCAATTCCACTGTAAACAACACCAGATGCTCTAAACAAAAAGGATATAAAAGTATATTAGATATTCATTATGTCATAACATAACTGAAGTATTATCAAAAATTTGAAGACAAAAAAACACACATTGCAGTGAACAATTCAATAAATACAAATGTTTATTGTCCAAGATGCATTGATCTGAGTATAGTATTAGGTATGATCGTGAAAGAGCGGATCGGTAAAGTAAGAGCAGCATATCTACAACCGAAGAACATCTGGAACTCAAAACAAATGTCTGTTAACCAACACTAAAGTCAGAATTTTTAAAACAAATGTCAAAACAGTTCTACTGTATGGGGAGGAAACTTGGATAGCTGAGAAAGCCAGCATTCAGAAGATACATGTGTTTATTAACAGCTGTCTAGTCAAAATACTTTGGATCCGTTGGCCAGACACCATCCGCAACAACCTACTGTTGTGGGAGAGAACAAACCAGATTCAAGCGGAGGAAGAAATCAGGAAGAAGTGCTGGAAGTGGATAGGACACACATTGAGGAAGGCACTCGACTGTGTCGCAAGGTAAGATCTCACATGGAATCCTCAAGGCCAAAGGAAAAGAGAAAGACTAAAAAGCACATTACTCTGAGAAATGGAGACAGACATGAGAAGAATGAACAACAATTGGATAGAACTAGAAAGGAAGGCCCAGAATAGAGTGAGTGGATTGGAGAATGCTGGTCGGTTGCAAGGATATCTGAAAATCTCATGTTTAATTTATAGTAAGATTGTGGATTCGAATTGTCATGAAACAGATCTTTAGTGCATCCTGATTTTCAATTGCTTATTTAATTATTATCAGTTAGTAATGTAAAACTGAAAAACTCAATAATCTCCAATACAACACTCAAATATAATTATTAAAAAAAACGATATTTTATGTATAATATCGAATCTAATTTTCAATCAATATTCATAGTTTAATTACCATTGAAATCATAAAATGGACTGTAATGTGAAGTGGAACTGATTTATTCATTTAAACACATAAACATTGGTACCTAAGGGGCATCGAATACATATGCGCCATATAAATCATTCAATTTGTGTGAGGGCTAGGATATGATCGGGTGCCCAAACTGAAGCAAGTGATTTTCTTGGGAGGACACACTCGGAGCCTTTCGGCCTACACGTCTAATCCACAAGGTAGTGGAGCAACGTAGGGAGATGCAGTCACATGGTAGTCGGTGACTAACAATAGGTTCATACGCCATTTGTTCCTTCAGGATACTGGAGCCCATGTGCATAATTGGTTTGGAATGAGGGTTTTCCAACCCAACTAGATGGATCCTCCATATCCACCAACCAGGTTAACTTAAGCCTGTTACTCCTCGTGAAGGAGTATAGGCCACTCACCAGCATTCTCCACCCAACCCTGTCCTGGGGAATCCTTTCGAGCTCTTCCCAGTTGTTATTCATCCTTTTCATATCTGCTTCTATTTACCGACGTAATATTTTCTTTAGCCTTCCTCTTTTCCGCTTCCCATGAGGATTCCAAGTTAGGGCTTGCCTCGTGGTGCAGTTTGATGAATTCCTCAATGTATGTCCATCCATCGTCTTTTCCTGATTTCTTCTTTAGATGGAAGTTGGTTTATTCTCTCCCACAATGGGCTTTTGCTGATGGTATCCGGCCAATGGATGTTGAGTATCTTGTTTGAACAACTATTTATAAATACTTATACGTTCTTGATAATAGTTGTGGTAGTTCTCCGCGTTTCAGCGCCGTACTATGGAACTAACTGTGTTGATATTCGTATTGAATATTGTGAATTTGATATTGGTTGATAGATAGTTGTTTTGAGTTCCATATGTTCTTCAATTGTAGGAATTTGGCCCTTACTTTGCTAATCCTCGCCTTTACGTCTGCATCTGATCCTCCTTGTTCATCGATGATGCCTCCCAGGTATGTGAAGGATTCTACATCTTCCAGAGTTTCACTGTCAGGTGTGATTAGGTTGGTGTTTTCCGTGTTGTATTTGAGGACCTTAGTTTTCCCCTTGTGTATGTTGAGGCATACTGATGCAGAAACTGCTGCTACACTGGCTGTCTTTATCTACATTTGATCGTGTGTATGTGCGACAGGAGGGCTACGTCACCTGTGAAGTTCAAATCGTCTAATTGATTCCGAACTGTCGATTGTATGCCGTTTTTTCCCTCAAATGTCGAGGTCTTTATAATCCAGTAGACCACCAGAAGAAAGAGGAACCCGGTTAAAGCACCGGACATTTAATTTCCATCCTTTAAATTTCGTAAACAACACCACCGCCGTGAGAAGGAAATGAGTAGGATTTTCCTGACAATAGTTGTATCCACGTGGTTATGTGAGAGCATTTAGTGATGGAGAGCTGACTCTTAACACTCTCAGCCGTACCAATGCATTTAAGAGTTTAAAGAAATAACTTTTATTGTATTATTCACTAAATAAGTAATATCAAACTTTTTTATCACTAATTTATCAGATTACTTTTTGTCTCCCTCTTATAATGATATTATGAATAACATTCACACAGGCCTATATATATTGAAGGAAGATGGATGAAAGAAACATTCCTATATCCAAATATACACAACACATTAATTCTAAATAGATATTATATTCAATTCAATGAGATTAAACTGTTTTGTGTGTTTTATTACAGTGAAAATGATGATGGTGTCAGACAATATAATTTCAAAAAGAAATGAATGGTGTAAAAAAAGAAACCAATTAGGTTGTTTGTTAAAAATAGAAGATGAACCATTTACAATTATCTAGATGTGTTTTATGTCTTGTTTTTCTTTCTTTCTTTCTTTCTTTCTTTCTCTCCCTCTCTCTCTCCCTTATTGATTAACTAACTGGATTACTGAAGGGTAATTTCCAAAAGAATAAATAAACAACAGGAGGAAAAAAAGTGTAACTATTAAACGATAGTAACAAGGCTATCGGTTTCTTATACAAAATTATAAAGTAAAAAAACCCAGAATGTTCTCAGTATATGGTTTTGGAGATCATGAACCGATTGATGCTAGACAACCATTGAAAAACTGGAAGCAGTGAATGGCCATTTCTTCCTACTGTGGGACTCCTCAGCAGTGCTTTCAGGTCTTTAATGGTGGTCAGCATCAATAGGTTCATGATCACAATTAAAAACAGAATGTCTTTTATTTTGCATCACATAAAAAACCTTGGTAGATATATCAACATGGTATAATCTAGAGCACGATTAAAACTATTAGGGCAAATTGTTTATTGTTATGATAAAGTGTAAAAAACCGCCGTGAACCAAGTAGTAGGTAAATGCTCAATTTGGTTCTATGCCGACTATGCATAACAAATAAATCAAACAAATCCCTATGATGTGTTCAGATGAATGAGATTTTATGGTAGCGTTATTCCCGCCAAAAAATGCCGTGGTACGACCGAGGGTGGGAAGAATAATCTCTCTCTCCCTTTAAATGCTCTTACATGGCCAGGCGTACGCACTGATTGTCAGGGAAGTCTTACTCACTACCTTCTCACGGCATTACTATTGATCATGAAATTGAGAGGACAAAAAGCGAATGTCCAACGCTTTAACCAAATTGATGGACATGGAGAGTCCACCTAGGGGAGTTGGAAAACCTTGATTCCAAACCAATGATGCATATGGGCTGGCTCCACTATCCTGAGGGAACAAATGGCATATGAACCAATCGTTGGTCACCGGCTACCATAGGACTGTATCTCCTGAAGTTACTCCACTGTCTTTTGGATTAGACGTTTACGTCAAAGGCTCGGGGAACGAACTCCTAAGATAACTACCTGCTTCGGTTTGGCCACCCGGTCAGTATCTAAACCCACACAAAAATCAAATGACTTATGCAGCGCATATGTACTCGGTACCCATTTGTAAGAATAGTTATGTGTTCAAATAAATAAACTTGAAAAACTGAGTATTAGAAAATCAATACAAAAAAACTACCTAAAATCGCTAAACTCAAGCCGATTTCATAATCTCGATTATGAAATACTTCCGGTTCAAATAGGACTTTGCTAATCATTTTAAAAGTGACTGTAAAATCACAAGATTATTTCATAAATTCGATAATAGGCTACCTCTAATAAAATAATAGTTAAATACAGGAAACAAATCAGTATATGATTGTGGAGATTGTTGAGTTTAGATTGATATAATAAACGGATCAATGTTAGACCATCACTGAAAACTTGGAGGCACTGAATGACCGTTCGGTCTTAGTATTAGACTCCTCAACAAAGCGCATCCACGATCCCGCACGAGGGACTCGAATCAAGAACTTTCGGTCTCGCACATGAACGCTTAATCTCTAGACCACTGAGTCCCAATATTAGAACGAAACAGCCATCCAGTACTTCTAGCTTTTCAATGGTAATCTAACATTGATCCACTCATAGTATCAATCTTAACAGAAAATAAAATTAGAGAAACATAATTATCATTAATAATTTATAGAACAACATATGCTATACAACAGACGCCTACAAATAAACAAAACATGATCCGTATCTGTGCCAAAAATATCAGAGAGTAAAATCTAAAAAAAAAAGACCAATTATAATTTAATTGAACATGAAACAAATTGTGTACAAGTGTAATATATGTGATATTCATATTATAGGAGATTGAATTAAACATAGTGAAACTATGATAAGAATAACTTAAAATACTTTAAATTATTTACTTTAGAAGAGCATGTATATGTGAGAATGTGATATAGATAAATGGCCAAAGTCAATTAGTCAGCTACAACGTAGGATCTCAGGCAGAAATATGCATCGGTACAAGTTGCCACACTTCACTCATTAGCACAACAAGATGAAAACCAAATTCATAGAACTTGTTAATTCAGTGGTGTTAATAATATAAAAGAAAGAATGCGTATAAGGATATAATACAGGAAGAAAGAATGAGTTCGTAGAGTTCATAGTTTAAGGGAAGACAAAAAGTGTATATGTCTACGCCATTGTGATCGATTCTGAACCATGTCACACACAGT